TCGAAACTTAGATATCAAGAAATTAAGAACGTACTTTAGCGACATCTAGTTCGATTTCGGGAACTAATGTCTTTTTTTAAATACTTCCTCATTCTTCTTTCATGTTTATTTTTTCTTTCAAGATACATCAGGTGATCAAAGGCATCCACTGCAGAGTCCATTGCCACAGACAATCCGTCAACTCACCATATCTACGCCGACACATCTAGACATACGGCCTAGAGAAGGATGGAGGGCTTTACTGTGATCAGCCATTACATAAACTGCCTAGACGAAGCGTTGAAATTAATATTATTTTAGAAAAAAATGAGAAAAATCTCTACAAATAATTTATAAGCGTTCTAAATGCCTGCCTTAAAATAATGTTTTTAGTAAAGATTTCTAGTTATGTTTAAAACGGTAACAAGAAACTACTTACGTAGGGATAGTATGAAGGAATCGTCGTTCTCATAATACTTGTAAGATTTTGTAATTTTTAGCCAATATAGTTTGACTGAAATGTCGCACCTATATTATTCTTAACCAATTCTCGTGACTCATTACAATATTGATTTCATAGCACTATTAAAAACTCTGTGTTTTATTTATTTAACAATTTCTATATTATATTACATGTCTGGGACATGAAAGCTGATTTTGGTTTCTTTCAATAGGGATGTCGACTGGATAAAAATAGAAAAATATTAGATATGTATTTTTTGTTTTTACTTCAATCTAGCAAGATTAAGCTTAGAAAACAGGCTTTAAAGTTGAGGATTGGGGGCTTGATACGTCACAGTTTTGTAGAAAATGTACCAAAGCTTGACGTTCTTCGATATTTTCACTCAATGTGTCGTAAATTTAATGATTACGAAAAAAAAATTAAAAATACTTGTTTAATATTTTCAACAATCAACCTAACGGACAAACAAATAAAAATTTGTAGTCATCCCTACTGACAAAATTTCAAACTACAACATATGTAAAATCTCTTTATTTAAAATTGATAATAGCGCGGATAGTAGTAAAATATACAGGGTTATAATTAGAACGGATCCTGTTAAGGGATCGTAGGAGATTCCTTAAAAGGATCTGGTCCAATTTTATTACAATCTAATGTAATGTAACTACTTTAATTACAATTATTTTCACCTCACATTATGTATCCGAAAGTGAGCCATTTTTGTGATAAATTGTATTTTTTTTTTCTTAAAAGAAGTCGAAAAAAAATATTGTCAGAATCTAATTTTGTTGACAGTTTTGGAGAGATAACATTCCTGTTCATGATAAATAATAATAAAACCCAAATAATCTTGACCCAAACAGAAACTACAGAAATTAAGACATATTTTTGTTGTTGTTGTATATTTGTAATTAATAGTTTTTTGTTGTTGTACATTTGCAAACAAAAGTGTATTTAAAAAAAATAACTCGGATATACAATGTAGAGTAAAAATAATTATAAATGACCTCCCCTACGACTTAAAGGATCGGTCTAATTACCCATAACCCTGTATATTTTACTACTATCCGTGCTATTATAAATTTTAAATATGTTGTAGTTTGAAATTTTGCCAATAGGGATGGCGACTAATTTTTGTTTATTTGTCCGTCAGGTAGATTCTTGAAAAATAAATTGAGTGAAAATGTCGCATAACATCACGCTTTGGTACATTTTCTACAAAACTGTGACATAGCGAGCCCCCACTCCCCAACTTTAATGCCTGTTATCAAAGCTATATCTTGCTAGATTGAAGTAAAAACAAAAAATACATATGTAATATTTTTCTATTTTTATCCTGTCGGCAACCCTATTTTTGAATGATCTTGGCGTTAATCTACAAGTAAGTAGAATGAAAGCCATTTAAATATTAATTGACAATTTTATTAGAAGCATAGTTAATAATAATAATTATATCCAAAATACAATAGGAATCAATAACAATGCAAAAAAATATAGACTTTTATCTGTGGCGCTGCTGAGCTGACGTCAGTCCAGCAGCGCATCAGACAGACGCGGTTATTTCTGCAACTACCTAACATGGCTATTGGCACTATTTCGGAACAGACTTCATCAATCCATTATAAGGGACTTAATGGGTCAAGAATTTATTTCGAAACCAAAGAGATCGGTTCTGCTAGACCGACGGACAGATCGGAAACGTTAATTCGTGTTTTTTATGTTCAGATAACCACATTTGTAATTTTTATAAACTCTGCAACTATTTTACTAAAAAGAGCGAGGTTAAACTTTGTCTTGGAATACAATTGCCCATATAATAAAAAATTAAAAGTAGCTCGGTGGCGTAGTGGATAAGCGCCGCGGCCCGCGATCGTGGTTGTTAAGCAACTTTCGCAAGGGTCGGTCACGGGATGGGTGACCAAAAAATTATTATCTCGAGCTACTCCGTGCTTCGGAAGGCACATCAAGCTGTTGGTCCCGGCTGCATTTGCAGTCGTTAATACCCTCCAATCCGCATTGGGCCAGCGTGGAGGGTCATGGCCCATCCTCCTTAACCATCCATAATGAAGGCCTGAGCCCCTGCAGTGGGGACGTAAAAGGGCTGATGATGATATAATAAAAACAAAAAATAATAAACTTCATTTCATTTTATTTCTATAGAAAAACTACTTTAAAATACACATACAATAATTACAGCATTTTTAAAGCAATAAAAATCTATACAAAATTATAACAGTGGCGGACTAGGAGGTGGGGTAAAGCCCCGGGCCTCTTGGCTTGGCAAACGGCTGCAAGTTCCCTTGATCGTCTTTATGTCCAGTTTTGTAGTTTTAGCAGGCATCTATGAGGGGGGTTTTGCAATATCAACTTTCTGCCCCGCTTGGAAAAAGTTGTAGGTCCGAGCCTGATGCGGCCCCGGGCCCCCGATGAGGTTAGTCCGCCACTGTTGAACAATAATGTTTTTTTATATCGTTATCACCAAGTTACATATAAGCCACGTCAATGAAAGTGTTGAAAAAAAAACCCTAAAAAGCACCTCCACTAGATGGCGACTAGCAATAATTGATTTTTGCAGGAAACGGATGGACCGAAGATAGTAATTTTTTCTGTCTACTTCAATATAATTTGAGTGTGAGGAAGAATTTAAAAATAAATATTAGTTCCGGAAATCAAACTAGATGTCGCTACGGTACTTTCTTGTTTTCTCAATGAAAATCATTCCGGTTTTCTTTCAAGTTTAAAAGTAAATTAGTTTTCAAAACTCAATAAACAACTCATATTCTATTTGTACTTTTTCGTATTTGTATTGATATCTAAGTTTCGAACTTTGCAAATTTTAGTTTTTTAATGTTAGTTAAAAGGAACAGAAGTGACTGTCTTTGGTCCATTCGTTTCCTGCAAAAATCAGCTTTTGCTAGAGTCGCCATCTAGTGGAGGTGCTTTTTAGTGCTTTCGTTTTTTTTTAAATACTTCCTCATTAAGGGAACTTATAACTACACTACAATATACAAATTTACAGTATAATAACGAATATTAGATAACTAAAATGTATTATTGCAATCATTACATAAATAATTATATCTTAATGACCCAAATTCAGTATTTCTCCAAATAAAAAAAAATGCGCTTTTTTAAGGTTACCAAAGAAATATAATTATATATTAGTAGGTATACTGTTACTGTTAATTATAGAATAGGGACGATAACTAAGTCTTGTGTGTCTGTCCGTCTGGATGATAAGTATATTAAACACGCATTTTTTTTTTATTTATTCGCTTAATCAAATAAATTACTGTAATAGATCGAGTTGAAATGTCGCGTGACATTGTCGCGTTGTGACTTGTGAAATTGAAGGAAAAAAAAATACGTATCTAATATTTTTCCATTATCTGACTAAATTAATTACTTTCTAATGAAAAATGCTTTAAAAAAGCCATTTTGTGCCCGGCACTCAATAATGGAAATTTCTTTTTTCCCATGCATCATACTAATTGAATTTACTATTATCTATAAATAGTATTTTTTTCTTCCTCAGGCATTAAATGCAAATTTTGAACGGATTAATACTCAATTTTGTATATTGTAGAACTGAATTAATATTGGTATGATACATTTATTTTGTTAAAAAAAAAAACTTTGTTATTATAATATACATTAATTAATCGAGAAAGCTTTGATTACTAGCTGAGTTCCCGCGACTTCGTCCGATATTATAGCCTATCTCCACCGCGTATGATGTAGCTTCCCATAGGTGAAAGAAATAATAAGTAGTAAATAGTAATGTATAATTAATGTACATAAAAAAACACTTTTATATAAAATGCCCCAAGGATCATTATTAGGACCACATTCATTTACATTAATTTTATCAAGTTTATTATCAATTATTATATTCTTTCAACTTTCAATCGAAGCGACTATGTAATCTAATGGAGTCATTTTTCAAATATTTATAAAAAAAAGAGAGAGTAACAGAGTTTCTTGCCGTTTCTTCTCAGTACATGTTCTTCGTAGATTTGCTATCTGATGGCATATACTCACAAATGCTTTTAACAGTCTAACGGCCAGTTTCTGAATTGAGAAAAGCACAACATCTCAACTGATTTTTGTCATTTCTCAATAACTTAAGTTTTTACGTTTTATATGGTCTAATTTTATCGAATTGCTATCAACTGATCATTAAAAAATTATAAATCAGTAATGAGAACCTGTTTGATTGACTTTTAAAACGGCTTAAGCACAGTTTGAGACGTGCTTTTCTTCAGAAACCAGGTGTAAATCAGTATTTCCCAAATTATAAGCCACAATTCAATAGGACCTAGGACCATTCACCACTGTATAAGACTATATAAGTATGCATTCTAAACTAAGAGCTGTGTTTCAATATTGGAAAGTTTAATTAGACGGATCGGAGCTCAATCAATTTTGAGAAACACTGCTATACTGAATAAATGATATTGTTTTTGTAATTTTGATAAGTCTCTTACCACAGTGGTGGATTTCTAAATCTGCCGATGATAATATTATCACATTCACTTTAAGCACTAACAATGACTCTTCAATCCACCAATTTCACAGTCCACTTTTCACCACTTTCCTCACTCAAAACATAAGTAGGATCCGTCTCCCACACTTCGATGCTTTGTTCTGCAACTTGCTGCTCCTCTTGTGAGATATCAACCATTTCGTTGATTTCAACTTCCACTTCGGTGCCTTCTGCAACTTCTGTTTCTATTTGCTCCATTTGCTCAACATCGGGTACTTCGGCTTGATCGATCTGTTAAATAGACCAAATCTTGTAGACGAATACTTTAAAAAAATTACAAGTACTATGGATGTGACCGCTTATTTTTCTAGTCATAGAATCATAAACCAGTCTATTAATGTATTTACTTTGGGATTCCCTAGTTCAGGCGTTCCCTATAAATGGAATCGAAATAAAATCGAATAGGGACAATGAACTAAGTTAGTTTTTATAGATATGACTAGAGTTATATCCAGAGTTAAGCATTCACTATACAGCAGATCAATTCTGTTAATATTTAAGTTATCATCAGCCCTTTTTACGTCCACACTGCAGGGGCTCAGGCCTTCCTTATGGATGGTTAAGGAGGATGGGACTTAAAAGGGCCGATGATGATGATGATGATGATTGCACTACATTTAGATAAATAGGAAAAATATTAACAGAATTGACCTGCTACATTTCCAATATAGCACTAGTATTTGATATTATTTCATTGATATGTTTCGCTGTAGTATATCTCGTACAGTTTCCTTTGAAGTAGCTAGTAGATCGTTATTGTTAAGCAACTTTCTCAGGGGTCTGTCACGGGATGGGTGACCGAATAATTATTGTCTCCCACTAAACTCGAGAAAGGCACATTAAGTCGTCGGTCCCGGCTGCATTTCCAGTCGTTAATACCCTCAAATCCGCATTGGGCCAGAGGGTCATGGCCCATCCTCCTTTACCATCCATAAGGAAGGCCTGAGCCCCTGCTTTAATGTAACAGGGCTGATGATGAGATTCCCTGAATGTAACATCACTCACCTCGACTTCTATACTTCCAGTATTCTGAACTATCATTCCGATCAGCTCCGTGTACCTCTTCTTCTGTTCATCCGTCAGATTTGCCGGGTTGTGGTTCCTCAGGTGGTAGTTCAGATGGCTGCTCTGTTTGAATCTCTTGTTGCAAACTCCGCATTGGAACGGCGAGACGTTCGTGTGAGTTCTCATATGTTGTTTCAAATGTATGGACTGACAGAAAGATTTTGTGCATATAACACATCGGTAAGGTTTCACCTGAAATAAAAATATATAACGATATTGCTTATTAATTAATCTATACTTTTACTTTATCAGTGTTATTTATAAACAAAGTTTAAAATTTGAGTAAATTAACGCTAAGACTGCGGTTAGTATTAGACAAAATATATCGCTGTTTAGCGATAAGGCCGCCTTTTGTGTACTCTGTATTGTTTTGTCGTGTAATTTCGTTCTGTTTTCCTGTCTGTATGCAAAAAAGATTATATATATTTTTTTAATTTGCTTATTTTTTAATATTATTATTAAACAGAGACTTGGCAAAGGTTTACCCAGTGCCACGTTCTACGGGGGTAATATTCACTCCTAGAAGGTAGTTTTGCTTATTCTCTATATAATATGAATTTGGACTGATACTAATATTGCAATTTTAAATTTGCTCTAACTTTAAACCTTGTTTATTAATAAACTAGCACTGTAATAGAAATAGCAGTGCTTTTTTTTTATTAAAATAAAAAATACCTTAAAATGTACAATATGTCAACCACACTGTATTTTTAATATCTAACCTCAAAGTCAACGTTTTGAAGTTCAAACTCGAGTGAAGAAGAATTTTCTACACTAATATTATAAAAAGGAAAGATTTGTTTGTTTGTTTGCTTGCATCGAATAGGTTTCGAAACTACTAGATAGATTTTTAAATTTCTTTCACCTAGTGAATGCTATATTATAATTTACGTGTATATTAAAAATACTTTTGTATGTTCTAACATTTTCCCTACTTTTTGTCTTTTGACTCATAACAAAAACGAACAGAACCCATGTCAAAGTAGCGGGAAAACAGTAGTAGATAAGCGCCGCGGCCCACGATCGTTGGTATTAAGCAACTTTCTCAAAGGTCGGTCACGGGATGGGTGACCAAAAAAAATTTACTCTCACTACTCCGTGCTTCGGAAGGCACGTTAAACCTTTGGTCCCGGTTGCATCTGCAGTCGTTAATACCCTCCAATCCGAATTGGGCCCGCGTGGAGGGTCACGGCCTATCCTCCTTAACCATCCATAAGGAAGGCCTGAGTATCTGCAGGGGAGACATGAAAGGGCTGATGATGACGATGAGTCACAGTCGCCTTACCTTGGTGTGTATCCGCAGATGTTGGTCGAGTCCGGATTTCTGGGTGAACGCTTTGGGACAGAACGTGCACGAGAAGGGACGGTCGCCGGTATGCATGCGCATGTGTTGCTGTACACCGCCCTACATAATACGTATATAAATAAGTGTGGCCCCAATATTAATCCTTGGGGCATCTCATATAGAAGTGTAAGAGTGGTCTCAATATTGATCCTTGGGGCATTTAATACAAAAGTTAATGCTCGTTTTCACTGACCTTGGGAGTCGCCTAAATATTTAAGAAACACCTAATGTGAAAATGCATTTCACTATTGACTAGGATCGACCTAAAGAAATTAAGCAATGTCTAAAGTTACGATATTCGTCATAAATATAGAAAGGGATAAAAGAAAAGAAGATTTATTTGGAATTAAACTGAACTGCTTAGGGGATTCTTAATATTAGGCGTTTCCTAGTTAAGCTACGCCTTATTCTAGATTAGTGTAAATGGGTGTAAGCAACGTCTAAAGTTATGATATTTGTTATGCTGCGCCTTGGGCTAGGCATTTGAGTAATACTACAGGTAATAAATATGTCAAGGAATTAAACGAAAAATGTTTATTGGAATTATACTTATCTACTTAGGCTATCCGTAGTTCGATTAGGCGTTTCCTAGTTAAAGGTTAGTGAAAAAGCGTGTAAGTTTGGTCTCAGTATTGATTCCTGGGGCATCTAATATAGAAATTTATTTTTACACTGTTATTAGTAAATGAAATGAAAATGTCTTTATTTAAGTAAGCTTGTTTCAAGCACTTTGGATTTGTCCAAAAAATCTTTTCCACCCACCACTTGTTCAGGACGTCTTTTAGCTGACAAGAAGAACAAGTGAAAGAAACTTACCAGCTGTTTATCATAAGTAATGACATTTATATAAAATATTATTACCTCAAGGGTCAATATTGGGACTTCATTTATTTACCAGCAACATTGACATGCATCTCTCTACTAATGTATCACAGTAAGGTTTGATATTAGAAAATTGCATTAAGTCCGCCAATTCTACGCTTAAATTGTGCAATGAAGTTTAAATAAATAATATTAGATGCCCCAAGGTTTAATATTGGGGCCCAATTTCGCAACAATGTTGACACAGATCTCTAATATATCACAGTTTAGATAGATATAAGATGCCTCAAGGGTAACTATTGGGACCTAATTTATTTACCATCAATATTGACATGCATCTTACTACTAATTAGTTATACATTTATCGCAGCTTCGATTTTAGATGCCCCAAGGGTCAATATTGGTACCTCATTTATTTACCATCAACATTAACATGGATATCTTTATATTTTTAAGCATTAATGATGATTAATGAATTAACTAACCTGTTGCGTGAACCTCTTGTTACATATATCACATTTGAAAGGCTTGAGTTTCACGTGATCGGTGCTCGTGTGATCGGATAGTTCTTTGCTGCTGTTGAAACCAGCGCCGCAAACCTAAACAATATATATAAAAAAAATAATCAAACGTCTGAAGAAGCTTATTTAGTTAAAAAAAAAGTTAAGTAACTAGGGCTCAGGCCTTCCCTACGGATGGAATCGAATAGGGGGAATGACACACAACGCGGTCCCAGTACGGATTGGGGGGTGTTAACGAGATGCTTGACGTGCACGAAGCACGGAGGAGTGACAGATTACAAATCTCTGGTCACCCATCCTATGGCCGGCCACTGCGAAAGTTGCTTAACAACCGTATCGCGGACCGAGCGCTAGCCGTTTACTTACATCGCACGTGTATAAGAACTCGTTGACGCCCTCAGAAGACAATGGTTTCTCGCAAACTTGACATCGGAGTCCCTGAAACGAATGATTTAATAAAAAAAAAACTGATTAATTTGATCAGATGAAGGAATCAGATCAAAAGCCTTACTGTAAATATCTTTTCGTTTGTTTGTAAATATCTTTCAAAAACATTTGAAAGATATTTTGCTTTCATTATATTTAACCGACTTAAAAAAAAGGAAGTTCACAATTCGAGTGTATTTTTTTTTCTGTTTGATACCTCATAACTTTATACAGGGTGGACTGATTTTATGATTTTTTTTTTTATTTTAAAAGCTAGCGCTTGCCTTGTCCCATTTCAAATTACAGCGTAGTATTTTTCATATTTAAGAGAAGCTTTACAGACTAATAAAATGGAGGCTCGCACTTTATCACGGTTTTTTACGCGGTTTTCAGAAAAGTATTTTTAGTGTTATATATAAAAATATTATTATATAAAAATATCAATATCTCTAAAAATCATGAAATAAAAAACTATAAAAAAAATAGAACAGACTTATACAAGAAAATGTTATTTAAGTCGGGCGGAGGTTTTCTGTAGTTTATTTTATTAATTAATTTATATTCAATGACATTTTCTTGAAGAAGTCGCTTTTGAGATATGTATTATTTTATCACTGTATTTTTTTTAATTTGAAGTAGCTTCTAATTTTTTTTAAATTTTTGTTCTCAAAACCAAACCAATAGAAGTTAAAGCATAAGAAAAAGTTGATTGCTTTGAAAAAAAAACACGCAAATACAAAAAAATCAGAATTAAACTATAATTAGCGGTAACATAAATATATAGTTTGTGAATATCTCAATTGTCTAAATGTCATGTTTCATGAGATTAACGGACAGTTTCACAAACGTTCATTAAGGTTTAATGACGCCTTTAAGCTCTAATGAATGTTAAATTTGTACGGGTAAAGTAGCTTTAAACTAATGAAAATTTTTATGGCCGTTAGTGCAACTGGCTGACAGTCTGGTGACATATTATAACAGAAAGAAATCAAATGTAGCGTTTACATCCTATTATATTCTATGTCATAAAAATATAATTCATTGTTACAATTGAAAAAAAATCGAATAATTTGTAGTTATACACAAGTTTAAAAACTGATAAAACCGAAGACAGTGCAAACAAAGTTTTAGGCCAAAAGACGTTGCATCGAAGCCAGAAATATTAAAAAAAAAAATTACACTCACTTTTCTTCTGCGCGTGTGCTCATCACGATAATGCGTGGAATATTCACAGCACGAGAAAAATATCCTGTGACAGTCGCCATCTTGGACGCATTCAAAGGGACCGCTGAAATTAAAAGATATTATTGTAGCTAAATTTTGCGTTAACAATGATAGGGTAGAGAAGATCGATAGCACAAATCGTTGTTGTTAAGCAACTTTCGGATGGGCCAGCCACAGGATGGGTGACCAAAAAAAAAAATTTTATATCTAGCTATTCTAGTGCCTGGCTGCATTTGCAGACCGCATTGTTTTTGTAAAATTTGTCAGTTAACAGGGTGTCATATAGGCTACACTAAACAATTCCCTAGGGATAAAATGTACTGTCATAAGCTAGTAATCAACATACGTGATCGCTTGAGTCCACTTCTGTCTCCTGGCGGGCACATCTCTGACAGCCTTGTCGACTTTCCTTTTCTTGACGTCACCAATTTCATCTTCAGACTTGATTATGATGTAACTGACATCCTCTGATGCTAAAGACGTCAAGCTTCCAGGGGTCATGGCCGATAATATCTGTTCAGGTTGTAGACTCTCGTTGACTTTTACCAATTTCGCCTTCTTCTGTGGTTTGGGTTTCTGACGGTCGATGAGAATTAAGAAGTTTGATTAGAATTGTATTGAGCCTCCGCTTTACTAGGGATTAAATGAGCAGATAGGAATGCTTGAAAAAATTTTTAGCCGCGTATGCCAATAGGGATGATGACTAATTTTTGTTTGTTTGTCCGTCAGGTCGAGTGTTAAAAAATATTAAACACGTATTTTTTAATTTTTTTCGTAATCATAAAATTACGGCGTTACATGGAGTTGAAATTTCGCATGACGTCACGTTATGGTACGTTTTCTACAAAACTGTGACGTAGCGAGCCCCCACTCCTCAACTTTAATGCCTGTTATCTCAGCTATTTCTTGTTAAATTGAATAAAAAAAAATGCGTATCTAATATTTTTCTATTATCTGACTGACGGACTAAATAGAATTGCATTTTTTTTACCCAGTCATCATCCCTATTCTGCTATGTTAGCGTAATTACGTAAAGTCAATAATGCTTCAACTACAACCGTTTATAACACAGCTCTTGTTACTGGATCACAACAATCCTATTATTAATATTATAAATGTGAAAGTTTCTTTGTTTGGATGTTTGTACGTCAATCACGCCGAAACTACTGAACGGATTTTGATGAAATTTGGTATACAGATAGGGTGTTAGCTGACTTAGATAATAGGATACTTTTTATTCCACTAAACATTTCCCTAGGGTCCACGCGGGCGAAGCCGCTGGCGAAAGCTGGTAATAAATATATATGTCACTATTAATATGTGAGGGAGACATTGCACTAATAATATGAGACATGAAATTTGTTTAAATTATAACATTAGTGAAATAAAAAATTTATACTTATGTATTATTTATCACTACACAGTATAAAACAAAGTCGCTTTCTCTGTCCCTATATCCGTATGTATGCTTAAATATTTAAAACTATGCAACGGATTTTGATGCGGTTTTTTTTCATAGATACGGTGATTCAAAAAGAAGACTTTTATGTATAATACAAGACTACGAGGGCTAAGCCGCTGCTGGAAAGCTAGTTTATTTATAAATTACAATAATAAAAACTAGTGCTCCTCCTTTCTGTTATTGTTGTGCCCGACAGGGTCCATAGTGAGTTTAACTAAAGTATGTAACATTAATTTAAATTACCTATGAAAACAATAAACTTATTGAGTAGTCTACATAATAATAGTACAATGGTAATATGCAAATAAACTCCACTGGATACACAGCAGAATTGACTTTATGCTAAATGTGAAGTAAAAAAAAAATATTATCTAACTATCTATATCTTCGCGCTGAATCATTTGTAAGGTGGGCAATATTTATTATGATTTAATAAAAACCGAATTTTATTTAGTATTCGTTAGAATTCGGTTCAGGTGTTAGAAATGACATAGAAGCTTTAATAGTTCAGGTTTACTAATATCTCTTCTGATTTATCTATACAAATAAAACTAGAGTGTCTGTTTGTTATATTAAAATAAACAATTACTACCATATGCATTTGTATGTATACACAACACATGTAGCAAAATTTCATTTTTATCTGACTTAGTTCGGATTAATATCTTAAATGACTTTCAGTGGCAGACAGCTAGTAATTAATAAGTTTATTAGATACATACATTTCCTGATTCCGGATCAGTCCAAGCACTCGGATCACCTGTAGCATATGCCTCAAAATGTTCCATCATAGCATGATTGCGTAGAGCGACTGCACTAGCAAATATCTTGCTGCATATCTTACATCTTGTTGTATATTCCTCTTCATCGCTTATGATCTCCTTCTGTGAAAATAATATGTGAAACGTGGTAACTTAATAGATACAAAATGATGAAATTAAGAAATTGGCGAAGAGGAATGGAAAGAAGCATGTTAGGTATTTGAAAAATGCTAAAATTAAGGCATACAACAATTAGAGCCAAGACCAAACTCATAGATGTCACTCAAAGGTAATAAGAAATGGGCAGGTAATGTTATCAGAGGTGCTGAAAAGTGGAGTAAAATAATACTGTGTTGGATATCTACATATACAAGCATATATTAAATAATTTGGCTAAATAAGATAATTGTGTAATCCAAAAATGAGAAGGTATTAATTAATAGTATATTTGACATGTAAATTTACTGGTTCTCTGAATCAAAGCTGCATTATGTTTAAATGTAGCCAATAAACTAAAAATGGCATATATTGGAGCTAGGGCTGACATCTGTCTTTACACAGTCATGTGTTTTACGACATGCCCCAAAATATTCATATGGCCTATGTAACATAAATGCCAAAAGGTGTCAAAAATTACAATTATTAATTATAGTTATCTGCACTTTTGAAGACATGGTTGACACTTGCTATATCTGCAATCATTAACACTAATACATGCTAGGCATCCACATATAGTACATACACATATAGTAAATATCAGGGTTCGCTGATAAATATCAACAGATATATATCATTTTTTTTCCTTTCCACCTCAATTTATCTATTTAAACTGATCTGCATTATCATTCTCTTGCATGAAAGTGAACTATATGCAAAAGTATTTATTTATTAGGAACCTTAATATTAATTATAGTTAACATTTTAGAAGAAATGTTTCTATGTTATTTACAATCCTTAACCATTCCTAAGAAAGGCATGACCCCCTGCAGTGAGGACGTATTTTAAAAGGACCATTTATGATGACTATTTAGAATCACTTTTTGTTATAAAATTGTTAGAGAAGTATCTAATGATTTGTAGAATATGATTGCCTTTAAAAAGTAATACATATACAACTATACTCACTTTAACTTCAACTTTGGGATGAGGCACTACATTCACTCGCCTTATAGCCTGCCCAGACATTGTGAATTAGCCTGAAAATAGAATTTTGTGGTCTCTTTAAACCCCGCTATTTATCTTAGAATTTTAGCATTTAACTATATAAATAGATTTGTTACAACAAAGCACACATCTAGTCCGCATAAAAATCGTACAATGAATCTGATTTAAACTCTCACTAAACCCTGTAAGTTATATAAAAGATATCTCTGTACACAAAGTTAATTTAAAAAATAGGGGCACGAAGCGCGAATAGGACTCAATTTGTCAAAAAATACTTTTTATTATAAAAAAAAATAACCTCTGGCTCTGGAATCAACATAAACTACCCAGAAAAAGTTAAGACGCTATCGATTTCTACCAGCGCGCCATTACGTGGGTGTCTATATACAGTTTGACTTATATAATTTCCTAAACAATAAGCCATTTAAAATAAGATTTTCGTATCTTAAACATAATAATAAAACGAAATAATATAAAACTTACCTTTGAAACACTGACTTTTCAAGAAAGATTGGCGTTTGTTTTTTTTTAATTAAAAAAAAGAATGTGTAAAAAGAAAAAATTAAAAAGTAAAAGGCGTTTTCAAAAAATGACAAATTGTCGATGACCAATTTAAACTCGGCAAGGAAATTTCTTCAAATTATTGCTTAAAACTCTTCGTATTATCCAAAAATTAGTATTTAACCACAAATACACTCCTTCAAAGCATGAACTGACGCCATTACGTGAAAGGTGTGGTCTTTTGCTTTTATTGAGTGAAGCGTGCTGAACTAAACAAATATTTACAAAAACACGCTTTATTGCTTCACCCATAAAGTTCATTTTTACATCAAATTGTATTGAAACGTCAGTGACCATAGAGAAAAGACTGAATGTTTCGGAAACAAGGAATAAACAACAAATTCATTCGAGAACAATGACCGCATAATATTACAAAACTTTATAATAAATAAATAAATTACATGACGGCATGCAAACTATATTTGAGAACTATTGTTTAAAGGTATTACTCAGTAAATTGTGATTTGTGATCGTATGTAGCTAGAACTATTAAAATCAGCACAAAAAAAAAAATAGCTTTATTACTTTAAAATCTTAACAATACAGTTGCCGGGGCTTCTCTCGAAAGTAATCCAAAGATACCTGTGTTGAGAAGCCCCGCTCTTCCTTATAATCAAACAGGTTTTTAAAGCAATTTGTGTGCATGCGTGTGTGCGTTAGTGCGTGTGTGCGTGCGTGTGTGAGTGCGTGTGCGCGCGCGTGAATGTGTGTATGTGTGTGTGTGTGTGCGCGCGAGCGTGTGCCTGTGCGAGTGCGTGTGCGTGCGCGTGTGAGCGTGTCTGTATATATTCACTGAAGTATTTATCCATAAATACATACAAAAGTCCACATCGACCCTAACTTAACAATTATATGGGTATCTTGGTACTTTAGATTTAATACAAACTACACCGATATATATATATTATAATATATCTTACACACATCCATACATAAATATATACATATACATACACATACAATACATACATAGACATATACAAATGCCCATAAATACACACATGTTTTTTAATTACACTAGCCTAACCAACAAGTCTTCCGTTTCCTCAAAACTGATGGTTGTAAGCCATCTTTTAAGAGTACCCTTACACTCAAATAGTTGCATACTATAGATCTTTAGTTTGCAATTTATTTTATTATAAACATGAGGTGCTTGAGATATGTATTGGCGACTAGCGAAGGCTGTTTTAGCAGGATATTGTGGTGCTATGATATCACTTCTTCTCTTAGTAAGCTTACCACGATCAAATGGTAATATTTTATGATATCTCAGCATCATGTTTAGGATGTAAAGTTTCCTAACAGAGAGCAATTTGCAAAGTTCATATAGTGCGGCGGTAGGAAATCTTAGTGGTTTGGAGTACATCACTTTAATTAATGATCTTTGCGCACGCTCAAGGTTTATAAAGTAGGATTTTGCTGCACCACCCCATACTGAGATACAGTAAATTATTATCGATTGGGCAAGTGAAATGTATATTTTGTTGATAAGTTCTGGGCACATTATTTGTCTCAAAGATTTAAACACCCAGCTCAGCTTTCTTATCCTGCCCATTGTAAGTTCAAGATGTGGATACCAACTTAGTCTCTGATCCAAAATAATGCCGAGGTATTTAATACTGCTTTGTTTTTTAATTATAGGGCAGTTACAGTTATTATGAAAGGGGGGACCGCAGAAGTGAGTTTTAATTACGTAGTAAGGAGGGGGTTGCGAGTTTATGTATGGAGCAAAACATACATAGCTCGTTTTTTGGGTGTTGAGAGTAAGAAGATTCTCGCCGAGCCAGTCACTGACCATAGCCAGTCCCATCTCAGTCTTCACTCTGACCTCTTCCCAGTTCTTACCCACAAAAATGATAGCAGTGTCGTCAGCGTAGGACAGTATCCTCCCACCAACGCTACTAAGGTTGCAAAGATTGTTAATGTAAATTAAAAAGAGCGTTGGGCCGAGGACACTGCCCTGCGGGACGCCATAAGTTACGTGTTCTTCCTCACTTAAGAGCTTATCTATTTTTACAGCCTGTTTCCGATTTTGAAGGTAGCTGCTCAAAAGTGAGAGTGCAGAACCTCGAAACCCAATGCCTTCTAGCCTACGTATGAGAATGGAGACAGAGACGGTGTCGAAAGCCTTCTTTAGGTCGAGAAAAACCACTAGACATTTATTGCCTCTGTCTATTTCTTTAGTTAGAACAGATGTAAGCTCTATAATAGCATCCTGCGTTGACATTCCCTTTCTAAATCCATACTGAGAGGTCGACAGAATGTGATACTTATTCAGATAGCTGACTATTCTAGAATTTAGCAATTTCTCTATGATTTTAGAAATGGAAGCCAACACAGAGATGGGGCGGTAATTGCTAACGTCGTCTCTATCTCCACTCTTATATACAGGGGTAACAATTGAACGCTTGAGAAGGAATGGAAAGATACCCGTGGTAAAACACAGGTTAGCGAGGTCACTGATCAAAGGGACTAGAACTTCTTTGGCTTGTTTAAGAAAATGAGTGGGGATTTGGTCCCAACCTGGCGCACTCATAGAATCTAAGGACATTAGAACATTTTCTACTTCACTGTGAGAGGTGTTCAGTAAAACGAAAGATGATGGATGACCTTGCAAGTGGCTCTCGGCATAACTTGAAGACCTTACGCATCTACTAGAATTCGATATGTTCTCAGCTAGCTGTTGACCAATGTTGACAAAATACCTATTCATGAAATTAACAGAGGTTTGAGGGCATGCTGTGATATTAAGGAGATCACCATTACAGGCTTTGGGAGGCTTATAATGTGTGATATCATCAATAGTTGCCCAGAGGGTTTTGGGGTTTTTAACGGATGCTTTTATTTTATCTTTATTATATTTATTTTTTAATTTTTTAATGAGATTACCACAGAATGTACGATAACGTTTGTATGTAATTAGTAAAATTTGATTTTGGGGGTTAGCTTTGAGTTGCAATGAAATATTGTTTCTAATCCTGATACATCGTAAAGCACCAGTAGTTATCCAAGGCTTTTTAACCCTTTTGCTGCTCGTGATAGTAACATTTCTTGTATTTGACAATAGGGCAGTCCTGACCATTTCCACTAGTGCAAAAGCGTATGTATCTGGGTCTTTAATAACATTGAAAAAAGAGACATCAATATCTATTAGATTTTTAAGAGCTTTATCATAATTGGTCACTGTTTTAAACCTATGAGTTATCGACGTCGTTTGATTATGTTTGCTTGAGATAGATAGAAGGACAAAACAATGGTCTGTTATTGTAGTGTTTAGGACCGCGGTGAATGCTGTATTAATTTCATAATCAAGCCTCAAAAATACATGGTCAAGACAGCCATCCTCACGTGTAGGTAAGTTGTGTGACGCTAAAAGTCCATGCAAGGCCAGTGTATTTAAATAGTTTATTCTATTAGTTCGTTCTTGAGTTTTTTCATTTGGGGATATAATTAAATCTATGTTTAAGTCTCCTAATATCATAACATTGCAGTGGGAAGCAATAGTTTCGAGGTGACCGTTAACTGAAGCGATGAAATTTCCTGCATTTAAAAATGACGGGGATCGATAAATGCCCAAAATGGTGTAGTTTAATATTTGTAGTTCAATCCCAGTACCATTTTCAAGGTTCAATTCTTTAAATTTTGTCGCAAGACCATTTCTGGCATATGCAACAACCCCATCACATTTGTTAATATGATTATTTGTTTGGAAAGATGTGTAATTTTTCATTTGTGGAATGTTTTTGTAAGGGTTTAACCAACATTCGGTCAAAATTAAGACATCGATTTCATATTTTAATTGCATCATAGTGAGCAGTAGATCATCAAAATTTTTGTATATGCTTCTTATGTTTGAGTTGAAATAATTAGATTATGTGTAGTATTTTCAGTCTTTATTCTTAACTCATGTATACTGCACTTAATAGAGTCTGATAATTTAATCTGATCAAGTTCTTTAAGTGTGTCAAAACTAGCCATTAGGAAGTAGATAGGAACTCTCATGGTTTAAAATAAGGAATTTAGTTTGTAAATAAAGTAGCATATCGAGATCAGAAATTGCGTATGAAAGCGAGTAAAGAATGACTCTGTTATCAGATATATTAAAAATAGATGGTGTATATAGTGTTGTGTAGCTGTGTTCTACGTATTTTAGGAGTGCATGAGTATAAGTATAGTGACCAGTGGCTTGAAGATATGTGTAAAGGTTTGCGTATAGGGGTGTGCACAGTTTTACTATGAGTGTGTATGTAAAGTGTGCACACAGTATATAACTGGTAGTTAATAGAACGGAGTAGTGTATTCATGTGTGTGTGACAGAAAAGAGTATAATGTGTGTGAGTGTGTATAGGTAAATGTTTTTGTGCGTGGTTTGTTTTTTGATATGTATTTGACAAAATATTAATAAGCTTACAAAAATTAAGTGGTAGATTAATGTTACACAGTAAATATAAAAATAAAAAGAGTAATTTTAGGAAAAATGAGCACTTATATAGTCATTGTTCTTGCATAAGTTTTTGCACTTGTGCTTCATGTTGAATGTGGATGATATTGGATGTGTCGTCCTTCCTGACCAGTACCCTCCACATAGAGGTCCAACAGTACTTCACATTTCTGAGTTTTTTTCAAATCACGGGCCAGAAAAGACAATCGGGCGCTCTTAGGGGTAAGTTGCTCGGATATGAAGATAGGCGTGTGTTCGTTACTGGTGAGTCCTAAGTGTTTAGCCTGTAGTCGTGTCTCGTTTGCAGCATTAAACTCCTTCACTCTCTTAAGGAAGTCGGACCTCAGGGATGCAGACCTTAATTCCACTATAATTGTAGGCTTTTTTTCGCTATCACCTCTGGGTCTTAAACGGAATATATCGTTGACGTCTCGATCCGTCATACTTAATTGAATAGACTTAGATAGACTTAGGACCATTTGCACTAGGACAGCCCTAGTTTCCTGGGTCTTTTTAGGAACATTTTTAATTTCTACACAAGCTTTGCGATAGGTTCGTTGGTCTTCCACTTTATCTTCTAAAATACTGATATACTCGCGGTCTTTTCGAGCCTGTTTCTGTCGGCCGGATAAAAATCAATTTAAAATATATAATGATTTTTATTTTATTTTAAATATTAAATCAAAAACATTAACATTCAAAAAACATTTCGTTTGCCAAAGACGAAGGAGCACACTGGAACATATATACCTATTCTGGGAAGAAGAGCATTACTATCCTTGTCTCCTTCTTCCTTGTAACTTACGCAAACTTAAAGAGAGCGAAATAAATAGATAGATATCGTTGAAATTGTGAATTTTCTAATCACAGTACTCGTCCTCCGTATAACTAAAAATGTTTTGTTGGGTCGATAAATCTTAGCAACCGCTAAAAATGGCGGCACCAAAGGCAACTACAATAAAAGAAGCAATCAAAAGATGGGAGGACAAAACTGGACAATCGGCAACTACCGCTACGGAAGTCAGTTTGATATTCCAATGGCCACCAATCGAAAAAATGGACAATAGTCTTGCAGCACTTACGAATTGCGAGTACGTAACGAGAAAGAATATTATATAATCTAAGTCTATAGAATATAATTTTATGATATAAAAATATAAGATTCTTTAATTACGGCGGTTCAAAATTTGCCAATAATTATATCAAATAGTATTTAGTGTATTTTAAGCTCATGTTAAAAACTAAGCCATCACTTCACAAGTCTTTGAAAACGGATGCATTTTTCTCTGTTTTGTTTCATACAGAGAAGTCCAAAAGATAACGAATTTAATAAATCATAAACTAATAATTGAAAATAGACCATACGACTAAGTGATTTTGACGCACCGGAGTTGTTCACCTATTGTGATTATTGCGATTTTTGGTTGTCAGTTGATTAGCGAATACGCCTACTGATACTCAGTACGTTACAACAACGTTATATTAAGTCGGTAAACTATTAATTTCAAACGAAGTACTGGATAAAATATTTGAAGTATTTTTTATCGATAACGGCATTAATATCGTCTGTATTAGCAATCTTTGACACCCACCAATACGCACTGGGCCTACATGGTAGGTTATAGCTCATTGTCCCCATTTGAATTGATTCCATCCAGAGGAAAGGCCTGCGGGAGCATTGATAGACCGATTAATATCATCTTACAATTTTTTTTTCAGAAAATTAAGTCTATCCACAAACATGATAGAAAAAGTAACTGGAATTAACAGTTTGAAAAAGCTTCGCATTCTATCCTTGGGTAGAAACTATATAAAGTCATTCGCTGGTATGGTAAGACTTATAAATAGTTGAGGGCCTAATATAGAACCTTTAAGAACTCTATTAAATAGAATTACTTATGGTTTAAAACCGTTCAACATCAGTGCTCTTTTTTCACGATCATTTAATTATAATTTATTTCTGTATTAATAAAACTTAAAACAGATGTAAATACTGAAAGCGCGTAATATAACACTATAATCGAATGCCTTCAAAAGATCCTTTAAAGTTTATCATATTATTAAATAATCCGAATAATATTGTTATCAGGAATCTTTAGGTGACACATTGGAAGAATTGTGGATCTCGTATAATTTAGTGGAAAAGTTAAAGGGGATACACGTATTGAGAAATTTGAAAGTTTTGTATATGAGCAACAATTTAGTAAAAGAATGGAGTGAATTTAACAAACTTCAGGTAACATACAAATTAACAAAACACTGTAATTAGTAACACCGTTTATAATAACCGTGACCGGTATATAATATATTAATCTAACATTTTGTTATACAAATATAATAATTCTTTCTATTTTTTTTAACATCAGGAACTACCACACTTGGAAGATTTATTATTCGTGGGTAATCCTCTATATGACGCGTGTGAGCTGGAGGCTTGGAGGTCGGAAGCGGGCAGACGTCTGCCTGGCCTGAAGAAATTGGATGGTGAAACGGTATTGAGGGAGGACGAACCACCGTTAACGGTCGCCGATATGCAGGTAATAGTAGAGATTAGTTCTTTTTTTTACTTCAATTTATCACAAATAAGCTTAGATAACAGGCATCAAAGTTAAGGAGTGGGGAATAGTTACATAAAAGTTTTGCAGAAAATGTACGAAAAAAATACGTGTTAAATATTTTTCAACAATCTACCTGACGGACAAACAAAAATATTTGGTCGTCATCCCTAATGTAATGAGGAAGTATTTAAAAAGAAAGTAAACACTAAAACAGCATGTCACTAGATGGAGATTCTAACAAAAGTTGGTTTTTTGCAGGAAAAATCATTTCCGTTTATTTCACTAACATATTAAAAAACTAAAATTTGCAAAGTTTGGAGGCTCGAAAGGGGGGGGGGAGGGATTCGTCAAAAATCATTAAATATCACAAGGGGGGTGGGGGGGTGTAGTAATATATCACGTGTATTTATTTTTTCCTCGATGCGTGATTATTAAACCGAAAAGTGACGTCAAAAATTAAGATTTTTTGTTTTTTTTTTAAATACACGTGATTTGGTTGAAGGAGGGAGGGGGTAGTCTTAAACCTCACCATGTATCACCAAGGGGGAGAGGGGGTCAAAAAATGTTGAAAAAAACATCACGTGATTAACGGACGGCCCCAAACTTATATATCAATACAAATACGAAAAAGTACAAACAGAATATGAGTTGTTTATTGAGTTTTGAAAACTAATTTACTTTTATATATGAAAGAAAACCGGAAGGGTTGTTTTGGAGAAATCAAGAAAATACTGTAGCGACATCTAGTTTAATTTCGGAAACAATTTTTTTTTAAATACTTCCTCATTTGGTTTAACCGTATAACTTCAATATCACACTAATGTATTAACAGAATTAGTACTCGTAAAAATTATATAAACATGATAATTGAAAGCCTATTCTATTTCTGCGAAAGCGAAATTTATTAGTTTTCCAAAATGATAATGCGACGCTAGAGAAACACATAAAAGTTAACATTGCGTGTGATGCACAGATAATCTAAAATTCTAAACGAATATGATTTTTAACCGAATTATTCAAATCAAATCTTTATTTATTTTAAACATGTGGGAATAACGGTTATTAACTTCAAGTGTGATCCATATCATGTCTACTATTACATACATAGCGTCCAAATATACAACGTGTCCCAAAATTCAACGATAAGCGGGCGCCAAGAGGTAGACCTGCTCATGTGTACTTATGGAAAAATAAGAAAAAAATTATATCTTATTAATCTTTTTTATTATAAAATTAAATTCGAAAATCTTCGAAAATTTACACCTTTTATGATATTTTCAACTACCACGACCACAACTTCTCAATTATGTTCAATCTTTTTTTGGTATCGGATACCTAAGTAGCACTACTGCTATCTGCTACAACTCTTAAAAACACCAAAATGCCCGCAGTTTTTACACAAAAAAACAATGAAAATGTATTTTTTCCTTAAATTTTCACAGATTTTTACGTTCCGTAATCTTTGACTTACGGTCTTGTAAAAAAAAAGTATGGACACCACTGTGGCAAGTTGTTTTTAAAATTGGCTGAACTCATCAAGATTCCAAAATGGTATAATAATCTAAGATAACTAGTCACAGTAAAAAAATATGCACACCATTTGTAAACAAACGAACCAAATTATAAATATTCATTAGATATTTATTTATTAGGTAATGCTCTATTTCTGCTATTGAAAGTATTGTTTTTCATGCCACTTCGCCCTTTACTTGTGTCTATGTATACCAAATTACCAATTCCACCAGCTACCTGCATCCGAGCGGCTGCATCCCTTTATCGAAAACGAGTTCTGCGGCATTGTCACATTCCTTTGACGTAATTTGTTTTTCTAACTCAGTTCGCACGTTTGTAATGGCTCAACTTATCGTTGACTCAACAGATAGCGAGAAGGATATGTTAGAGAGGGATAGATAGATATTTTTTGTAGAATAACAACAATGCAGGCACATAGAGAAATCCAGTTCTCAGCAAATCTGAAGTCGGATCAGTACGTTCTGCTCCTTTGTTTACTGCGCACCTTTCTGTATTCAATTGACGTGGCTCTCGTACTAACGACTTTTGGCTTTCTATTTTGGACTGGAATGAAATGATCTGCAAACTGAACTAACCTGGCATTAATTTGGACTGTGATAGTGTATTGTGAATTGGACTTTCGTCGTATTTTGGATTGTTTAGCGTTATCATGCCGCTACCATACACGCCGATGGAATACGCTAATATGCACCTCATTTATGGAGAATGTCGGTGCAATGCTAACGCTGCTAGCAGATTGTATCGGGAAAGGTACCTGAACGCCCAAAGATACCCAGATTACCGAGTATTTATGAATGTGCATCGAGCGTTCTCGGAGGGTCGTTTGCCATCAGCCAGAAGCAACGCTGGAAAACCTAGATCGGAATACGATGAAGAAGTTCTCAATGAAATAAACATTGACTCAACTACTTCAGTACGCGCCATAGAAGCAGCTACGGGAATCCCAAAAAGTACGGCTCATCGAATTTTAAAACGTCACAGGCTTCACCCATACCACTACAGACGTGTGCAAACATTGCTACCACGGGACTATCCACTACGGATCACATTTTGTCGTATTATGCTTCAAAAGCACCGGGAAGATCCTCAATTCTTGGACAAAGTACTATGGTCGGACGAAACAACATGCAAGAAAGATGGATATTTAAACCTCGACAACCTACACAGCTGGAGCAATGAAAATCCACACCTAATGAGACAGGAAAAATCCCAATATCAGTTTAAGGTTAACCTATGGACGGGCATATTAAATGGAAAAGTGATCGGGCCTTTTGAACTACAAGGAAACTTGGATGGTGACAGTTATTTGAACTTTTTACAAAATGATTCGCCAGAATTGCTTGAAGACGTCCCCTTAAGAGATCTACAAAATATGTGGTTTCAAAATGATGGTTGCCCAGCTCACTACGCTCGTCCTGTGAGACAATACTTGGACCAAGAGTATTCCGGGCGTTGGATTGGGCGACTTGGTCCTATCTTATGGCCACCCCGATCACCCGACCTAAACCCCTGGACTTTTTCTATTGGGGTTGTCTCAAAGACAAAATCTATGAAAAACCCATCACGACATTGGACGAGCTTCGGCAAAAAATTAGTCAGGCTGCGTCAATATAACATATCAATGCTAAAAGGTATGCACGAAAAATAAAACGCTCTTTTTTAAGGCGATGTCGTGCATGTATTAATGCCGGTGGAAAACAATTTGAACATTTACTGTTATGTTAATTATTAATAAATGAATGAGACTAAAACTCACTATTGTTTTATTTCAATATTTTTTTTAAATATTAAAACATTTCGGAACAGTACAATTTATTACTCACAACTTTGGTTCTTGATTCTAAATGGTATGATTTTTAGTTTGTTGCTAGTTATCATGAAGTATTATACCATTATGGAATCTTCATGAGCTGCGTCAATTTTAAAAACAACTTGCCGCAGTAGTGTCCATACTTTTTTTCTACATGACTGTGAGTCAAAGATTACGGAACGTAAAAATCTGTGAAAATTTAAGGAAAAAAATACATTTTGACTGTTTTTTGTGTAAATACTGTGGGCATTTTGGTGTTTTTAACAGTTGTAGTGAATATTAGTACTACTTAGGTATCCGATACCAAAAAAACATAATTGAGAAGTTGTGGTCGTGGTAGTTGAAAATATCATAAAAGGTGTAAATTTTCGAATTTTATTTTATAATAAAAAAGATTAATAAGATATAATTTTTTTCTTATTTTTCCATAAGTACACATGAGCAGGTCTACCTCTTGGCGCCCGCTTATTGTTGAATTTTGGGACACGTTGTCCTATATATAAGAAATAGAAAAAAATTACAACAATATACTTTAAAATGTCAATAAGATCTAAAATTTATCATTTGAACAGTCTTGAATATAAAGATATTACAAAAAAACGTTCTTTATAAATGATAAGAATAAGTTAAAATTTTCCACATTTTCAATAGAATAGATCCTCGGGCGTACGAATTATACTGTCGATTATGTTTTATACAATAATATACTTAACAAGACGAGGTTAAATGATGATGAATGATAAATGGTCAAACACAATTGTAGATTCAATTTATTAACTTAATAAACAAATTTAAAGATAGATTACTTCATTTATCTCGCTAAAACACAAGCACGACTGGGCTAATTTAGGGGATTTTGGTTTTTAAATGTTAAAAAAGGTTGTCTAGTAGAAATCACTTGCTGCGATAAGACCGCCATTTTTTATGATGTTTGGTTTGTTACTTTTATTAGATATCTGTGGTGTTGGCAATAAAGTGTTACTTTAAAATTTTTATAATCTAGCTCTTATTTAATAAAGTGAATATTATTGTGGATCTTATTTTGTTCTTCCAGCCTGACGGAGGTGATGCAGTCGAAACTTTGGTTAGCGCGGAGACCAACGATTGAAATAAACTATGAAAATACACGACTTCGATGTATTAAAATTACTCAGCCTGCTTGTTTTTTCAGTTCATTATTGCTAACATTTTTAGAGAGTCCAATATGAATATGATCTATTAAATATTGACCAGTTGATCCACCAATTGTTAATTTTTAGTGTTAGACTAAAAAATATCGAATACCATGGTGTTCGATATTTTTGCATCGCTTTTTATCGATTGTATTACGGAAATCACTATCTGTCGGTGAGCTGTCACTATCACATTGACATTGACAGAAGAAGAGATTCGCGCCAATATACCTACCATGTCACACGGTATGACCGATTGTGGCAGATTTTACGACTAAATTTTAACTCTGGCAGATTATGCTGGCGATTTGGAGAAAGTGGCAGAATATGCCAGATTTCAAAAATCTTTATCATTTTGAAACACATTTGTTTTTACATTCCGTTCCTTTTAACTGACATATTAAGAAACTGAAATGTGTAAAGGTCGAAAATTGGATATCAATACAAATACGAAAAAGTACAAATAGAATATGAGTTGTTTATTGAGTTTTGAAAACTAATTTAAAAAAGAAGTATTTAAAAAAAAATTAGATCCCGAAATTAAACTAGAGATCTACAGTAAGTTCTTGATTTATCCATGAGAACCCTTTCGGTTTCCTTTTATGTTTAAAAATAAATTAGTTTTCAATACTCAATAAACAACTGATATTCTATTTGTACTTTTTCGTATTTGTATCTAAGTTTCAAATTTTCAAACTTCAGTTTTTTAATATGTTAGTTAAAAGGAACGGAAATGACTGTCTTGAGTCCATTCGTTTCCTGCAAAAATCAACTTTTGCTAGAGTCGCCATCTAGTGGAGGTGCTTTTTTAGTGCTCATTATACATGAAAGAAAACCGGAATTTGTTATCACAGAACATAGAGAGAGAGATTAGAAGTATAATGATATTGATTTAGTATGGGAACCGAGTGTCGCCTCTCCGCACACAAATACAGATTAGATGAAATGATCATTTTGTTCACTACATGAAAAACCTCCACGCGATACGTTCGTGATAACATAAACAAAATCCCAAAAAGATACTAAGCTAAGAAATCACACGATTAAAATCAAACTCTAATTCAACGTGATAATAAATAATTTACTTTAACATGAATGTTGAACTGTCACGTGGCTGTATACGGGGATACCAGAAGGGAAAAAATATTTTATGATTATGCACATTTTAAAAAATTGGAGACATCATTTTATGTGCGAACTATTAAGATTAGATTTTGCTGTAACCAAGTGAATATTGAAAAATAACGCTTTTCCCTATATAACTTCTTTTAAAAAACTTAGTACAAAAACTAAGAAAACTTAATGATAAACTCTATCATATATCTGTGGAGTAATATAATTAAGCGAGGTAAAGTGTAAAAAAAACAAAAATTAAGAAACCAACAGAATTTTTCTATTAATTACATTAAACCTAATTTGTATTTTTTTCTTACTGGTATCATTCCGATTGTGCATATTAGTGATGTGACATAATTAGTTGATGAAATAAGAGGTTTAAATTTTGTTATGAAACAGTTAAATGTAATTCAGTTCAACATGTTCTACAGTGGTTTGATAGTAATTATTTAAAGCTTAATTCAAATAAAATGAAATACATAAAGTTTGCATTACCTAATGTGAGGCATATTAATAGCAGCGTTTTACCTACCAATAAAACGCATATTAAATTACTTACCTTATTCGAAGCTTATAGCTATACGAGATGGCAGTCTGTGGTTCCCGCCTATGATATTTTCCTTTTCTAACTTATAGCTCTTTCTCTTTCTGTGGTTTCTCCTTCCTCCACCTCGGAGGGGGGCGAGCTGTGATGCGAAGTGGAACATATTTAGATTTCATTGCGTCGAGTAATACTAGGCAGCCATTATCTATAAGCTTCGAATAAGGTAAGTAATTTAATATGCGTTTTATTGGTAGGTAAAACGCTGCTATTAAATAACTTGACCGTTATTCGAAGCTTATAGCTATATGAGACGTGTCTGTTATCGCCTAGTGATAGGAAGGAGAAACGTGACGCCAATGTGAAGATCAAAATAAAATGGTTATCCTGATCACAAGGTTTATTAAAAGAATTTTTTTTTTCTTTTCATATACATTTTCATTTCCCAACCTTAGTTGCAATATTTAATCAATCACTGGAGAAAAATATTTTGATACATTATTTGTCGTAGCTGCAGCAGACATCACTTCCCGTTTATAAAACTTATGAAAAGTATGACTAGAGCGCCAGTTACCTCTCAATAATATTTCTTCGAGCGGATAATCATCCAGCCAGTTTTTGGATGCAACAGCCGATCTAAAACTACCTGGAGTTGCTTTAATGTCTGCTTCCACTAGAAGGGTTTTAATCCACCCTGCTATCACAGCTCTAGACGCTGCTTTTGGATTACCCCTAAATGTTACAAATAAATTATGGCAATTTACAGCTTCTCGTCTGTCTCTTAACAAAGAAATCAACTTATTTAACCAAAAAATAGGATCTAATCTTAATGAATTTGAATTCGAAAACAATTTCCATCCTGTCTGACGGTAACCGCAAGTATCTGTTTTCGAACCAAATAAAGGCCAAAAGGTAATTGAATTGGTCGTTCTTAAATAATGCTTCGGCTCAACACTCAGTAAAGTAAGGTCATGTATTCTTCTACCCGAAACAAGAAGCAACAGGGCTGCTGTATGTCGACAGACATGAAAAATGTTATCGAAATCCACTGAATAATGCTCCATAAAATCAATCAAATCGTCAAGGTTCCAAATAGGTGATTTTTGACCTAATGGTTTCTTAAGGGAAATCGATTTCAACACATGTTTCACTAAAGCATGTGAACTCAAAACACTGGTTGATTCTGAATTACACACTGTAGAAATAGCTGATTTATATAATAAAATAGTGTTATAAGAAAGGCCGTGAATCAAATATAAATCTGCTAAAAATCTGGCTAATTGTTCCCCTGAAGGTTCTTCTGCTATTATGTTATTTTCTTCACACCAAGTTAACCATCTTTTCCAGGCAACACTATATGCCTTTCGAGTTGAAGGACGCCACGAAGACTTCAACAACTCGATTTGGTCTACATTCCAAAGACTTAAATTCCCAGTCCACCCCCACATTTCCAAACTTCCAGTTCTAGATCTTGAATGCTGGGGGGTGGCAAGCCTGTTGACATATCTACGAGTATCAAAACCTCTTTGAGGTTCCAAATGCTGAATGGAGGTGCTTGTGCGCGTGACTTCAGATCCGTTCTCCAGAATACCTTTTTCCACCTGGGCACTACTAGGAGGAAAGTTCCTTTCGCTCGATTGAGTTGCGCTAACACCTTCGGTATTAGATTGGGTGGTGGGAAGACCCACGCGAGAGGAAAGATCCACTGCCGAGAAAAGGCATCGTGGAACAGAGCTTGGTGATCTCTCACATCCAGTGTTACATAGTTTGAAACCACGTTTGCTCTTTTTGACGCAAACCGATCTACAACGGGCAGCCCCCATTTTACAAAAATGTGATTCGTAAATTGAGGAAGCAGATGCCACTCTGGAGGTTGTTTTAATCGTGACAGGTGGTCGGCCTGCCTGTTGAACCGGCCCGGAATGTGGAATATTTTGAGATGTATTTTGTACAGGTCTAAAATACTGAATACTTGATATGTAAGATGTAGAAGAGGATCTGATTTTGTTCCTCCCTCGTTCCTTAAATAAGCGACAACGGTTCTGTTGTCGCATTGCACCAGTATCGTGGAATCCTTCAGGTGCAGACAACGATCTTGTAAAACCTTTAGGATAGCCAACATTTCTTTTTGATTGCAGTGCAAAGTTTTCTCCTGAATCGACCAAAGACCTGATATACTTTCGTTGTTCAACTGTGCGCCCCAGGCTATATCTGATGCATCGGTGGTCATAAAATGAGTTGGTGCCGGTATATGAATAGGTGAGGAATTCCGGCAATTCAATAGCCACCATTTTATGTTGCTTATTGCGTCTGGTGACAGTTGCTGTTGACCAATTGTCTTCGACTTGAGTAGAAAGTTCAGTAAAAGAAGTAAGTGACGGAAATTCAGTCGACCTTTTGGAACTGCATAACTGGCGAAGTTCAGCATACCCACTAGGCTCTGAAGATTTATTAGCGTAACTGTGTTCTCTCGTAACATTTGATTGAGTCTGTTCATTAAAAGACCAACTTTTTCCTCTGGGAGACGTTTCTGGTTTAAAAGAGTGTTCCACTCTATGCCCAGGTAGCAGAGGTTTTTTCGAGGAATCAAAATCGACTTTTCGTAGTTGATTAGCCAACCCAGTCGCTTTAGCGTATTTAAGGTTAGTTGTACATTCTGCTGGAGAGTTTCCGGATTCTGATGTGCCAATAGAAAATCGTCCAGATAAACTATAATCCGAACTCCTCTTTGCCGTAAGTACTGTGCTGCCCAATTGGTGATGGTTGCGAATATTTTTGGTGCTGCACTTAATCCGAATGGGAGACAAGTCATTTCCAGGAGCTCCTCCTTGTAAATCAATCTCAAAAATCTCCTGCAACCCGGGCTTATCCCCAGATGAAAATACGCCTGAGATAAATCCACCTTGCAAAGCCAATCTTGAGTTTGGAGAAAATCCGGTATGCGCAGTACGTTTATAAGACTGAACCGCCCCGCTGCAACGTATTCGTTTAATGCTTTCAGATTGAAAATGGGTCGTAGAGACCCGTCGCTTTTGGGTACTAAAAATAGGGTAGATAGAAAACTCGGAGTAATCTTGGCCGGCACAAGTACCCCTTGAAGCTTCATTTGAGAAATTAATTCCGACATTTGACTTGATTCCTTGGTTTGAAATGAAGGCCACCTGAGATTGGGATAGGCTAGTGGCGGTTTCCTGATGAAGGGTATGCGATACCCTTGAATTATTTTCAAAAGGAACTTGGATGCCCCCATTGATTGCCAATTGTGGTAAAAATGAGATA